TCCTTGCGGACGGATGACAGCTGCGTATGACTTGAATTTATTTTCCGGTGCTTTCACTTCCAGAGACAGTTGTAAGCACTGTGTGACTGCCTCGAGGGTGCTTGACCAATTCAACACAACCTGGTGCGATCATCCCCCTTGCGCGGAGTGAGGGTTCTCGACCCCGCACAACATGATCTACTCGACCACTACTCATGGTAAACCGGAACAAAAAAACAGGGGCAAAAAAAAAAAAAACGGTAACCTGGTTGCCGAGTTCACGAAGTGAGTTGGCTTGTTTTACAACGTCGTTGCCAAGCGACGAAAACCCAACCCCGATGGCAAACACCGGGCGGAGGAAGACCAGCATTGTAATAATCGAAGAAGGTGATTTCACTCTACTGCTGTTCTGCTGGAGTAGCCAGGGTGCGCTGACGGATCTGCGGACGCGTTCGCCTGCGAAACCCTCCTGATGTGCATGATTGCCTTCCGATACTTCAAGCACTTCTTGTGAAGTGGCCGATTTACGCCCGTGAAACACCTCGGTGGGAATCCGGCACGCAATGGCATGTTGTCCAAGTCGGCAATAGCAATACCCTGTGCGCATCTGTTCGCCTGGAAGAGGGGGAGAATTGGTCGACAGTACCCAGCGGCATGCTTATTGGTATCGAACGGCGCCCTTTGACATACTTTAGAAGCCCTTGTTGCAGCTGCGTTCAATGGTACTGCTGCTGCTGCTGTAGTCCCAGACCTCGCCACGCTGACGATGCGGACGAGAGCGAGAATGGTACTGTCCAAAGCCTCCATGCGGCCAGTGTACGCCGCGGCATGCCACCCCGAATTTTCCCCACACTTCGGCAGTAAGTGTGAGTGGGTTTGGAGGACTGCGGCCGGACCTACCCCAGTTGCTGCGGTCGGTCCCACCACCAACGCTATTGTAACGCCGCTGTGGGCTCCTTCCAGTGACAAGCGATTTGCAAACGGTCTTCTAAACCTCCGTAGATGTGACTGACCCCCGATTCGGTCACGGAACGTGTTTCAATATAACATGGTCACAAGAGGGAAAGTGCGGCAAACCTCCCGCGGCAGAAAAAAGGAAAATGGTTGCATTGAGCGTCCGACCACTTTTAGGATCTTCCTCGTCCCACATGTGAGCATGTTCTCCAGTTCTATGCTTCTCTATCGATCCTACCGACGACAAGTATAAGTTTTCCTGCTATCGATGCCAAATACCAGTCGTCCTGAAAAAGGGCGAACCAGCCGTAGCCTGGTCCAAAGCTTCAAGCGCTCTCGAGCAATCCGACACTCTTTGCTGTCAAAACAGGAGGAGCAATCTGGTGGGAGTGGTTGATGCAAGAAATGGTGCTGGCACTCCTCTTAATGGTCCACAACAAATCCTGACCGTCCGTGATCCTCATGAACCATTAGCCGTGTGCTCACACGCGAGACAATTCCCATCATTCAACTCCGGTACCATCCTCGAATTAATTGTATCAGATGTGCTCAGAAGTGCTCCGATGTGCCCGACTGAGCTCGACAGATCAGAGTTTCGATTGCGAACTCCAGACTGCCGATGCAGCCTACTTCCAAACCTTCCAATCCCGGCGCCATCCTAGCACTACCCCACTAGCACTACCTCCCTCTCCCGGGAATCTGCTTAGCTATTCCAGATCCTGATGTTTCCTCTAACCGTATCGTTTTGTTTTTTTTCCCTCTTCATCGCCACACGCACATCATCGTGGCATATTTCTTGTGTAATAGTTATCTCTCCATGTCTCCTGTGCCGTTACTGCACCTCGATACCTGGCCGAGCAAACAGTACACTGTCTGTACCAAGGGATGCCAGGTGATCTCCCTTACACACCCTCACGGCGAGAGAGCCTAGGCAAACACCCTGACGGCAAGAACACAAGCGAGACAACAACCGCAGTGAATCAAACCAAGTTGTATCACTCACAAGAGGTAGAGTGACGACTCACAGAGCAACGAGGGCTCCGACATATTGAGCTATATATCAAATAAAATATCATGTGCCAACGAGGCTACAGGTCGGTATTGTAAGCAAGTACACCTCAACCTACTACACCAGCTACATGTATGTGTGTAGCAGTTGAGATTGTATCACAGATATATCTCAATTTTTGGGAAACCCGCGGTCTACTTGATGCACGGAGCCTCTAGGGTTGGCATGTGTCAAATATGATCATTAGTTGAGTCTTGTGCGCCTTGGAGTGTCTTGCTCACCGCTGTATGGGCTCCGTGCACGTGATCATATATAGACTAGACTATGACTGATGCGTAGTAAACGGAAGCTAGAATTTTCTCTCTTGGATCGGTTGCTAGGTAGGGTGTTACCATCTGGTCACTGTTCGTGGGCTCACGGATATGTGTCGGTTGGATATATCCGCGAGCAGTTTCTGTCACGCAGATTGTGGAGACTGCTAGGGGGTTGGGGCGCCGTAATAGTGTGCTGTGCTCTTGGCGGCACTTCCTCTCGTGCATGGATGTTTATCTCTCGCTCGTGACGTAAATACGACATTTAAACAACAACAGGCCTCAATGGATAAATACACGGAGAAGCTCCTCCCACTCCAGCGTTTTGCTCTCGAGGGAACCGCATTGAGAATGAGTAGCGCGCGTAGGTATTTCACTGCGACGGGCAACCCCAAGGTGAACCTGTACCCACAAGTAAACGACATGGGGCTGGTATCGATGGCTTCTCTCGGCCGCAGCAGAGAAGAGTAAAACTCGGTGCACCGAGTCTAGAAGAGGAAAACCGTTGTGATGGATACGAGTCCCCGAAGAAAGCACTTATGCAAGCCGCGTAAACCCTCGGCTTGAACGGACAGCTTACAGGAGACGCAGAGAGGCATGCACCTGTGGGTGGCTCAAGCACGCCCCAGCTTCAAGTACGTGGAGGTCGACGTCCACAGTTTTTTTTCTTTTTGTCCACTGCTCTCGTCAAAGATGCCGGCAAAGCGATTACTAACAATGCTCGGCGGCGAAAGCCATTCCCACAATGTTGGACAACTTCTACGACCCAGAGTCGCAGGGTTCAAGGCAAGTCCCCCTCAAGATACTATTCTTGCGTTGAAGGAGATAGGTCGGAAGTAGCCGCTACGTAGGACGCAGTTGGGATGTTCCTGGAGGGTACGTGGTGAGGGGCCTTTGAATGATGATAGTGCGGAGTCCCCCTTTTCTGTCGAATTTTGGGCACAGGGCCCATAGGCAAGGCCAAAAAAATGAAAAACGACGCAATTTTATTGGTCAACAGCACATCCCGAGATGAAAAACGACCCCGAGACCGTGAAAAACGACGACCTGTGATTGGGCCAAAGCACCCGAACTGGGCCGCTGCCGCCGAGACACATGACAACACATGATGACAACGCCCAACACAGACCACAACGGAAAGCACAACAGCCCTCCCACCCAGCAACCGTGGAGCCAGCGCTCCCCATGGGGCGAAATCCAGGATCAAAACCCAAGGATGGCGCACAAAAAGCGGGTCGGAAAACAAATGCGGAGAGGGAGAGGATAGCTGCGCAGCAGAAGAACCAGGCGGCCGCGTTCGCAAGGATGCTTTCCCGGCACCCGCAAGCCCAGCCATCATTAAAGCGGCCACGGGTGAGTGAAGACCAAAGTGGGGAGGGAAGCAGTGCGGATGCTAGAAGCGCGTCATCCGCCGGCGATGTCGACGCTAGTGGGGGTTCGGGTGGTTCATCAAGCCCGGCGGCACCAACCATAGGCGAGTCCACTCCACCTCCCGCCGGTACACAACAGCAGTCGCCTCCTCGCTTGGACGATGAGGGTGACCACTCTCGAGTAGATTGAGACGAAGCTCGGGCACCACCATTCTTAACCGTAGGAGAAGGATCCCCAACAGCACCAACAGAGCTCGTAGCAACAACAACAACAACAACAACAACAACAACAGCAGCAGTAGCAGCAACAGCAGCAGCAGCAGCAGCAGCAGCAGCAGCAGCAGTGGCGGCGGTACCCGTCCCGCACCCTCCCAGCAAAGGCAAGGGTAAAGCCCGTGCTCATGAAGCCTCCCAAGCACGCGGGGGGGCAGCTCCAGCAGTGCGATCCTCTCAAATAGGTGAGGTCAGTACCAGCATCAACAGCACCGGTAATATCAGCGGCACCAGAGGCTGCAACAGGGGCAGCAACACCGGCACAACTCGCAGCAGCGGCAGCGGAAGTAGCCGCCGCCGCGGGGGCGGCAGCGGCGAGACCAGCAGCAAGCGGAGGTCACGACCGCGGAGCGCGCCAACAAGGACGAGGAGGGGGGCTGAGCGGCCGTGGAGGAGGTAGAGGAGGGGGGATGAGCGGCCGTGGGGGAGGTGGAGGAGGGGGGCGAGGGGCAGCAGCGCCAGGTCGTGGAGCAGGAGGAGGTGGGGCTGGAAGAGCCGCTGGTGGAGGGGCCGGCGATGATGATACTTCAACATCCAGTGCGCAGGAACGCTTCTTTCAAGAAGTGAAGGACAAGATCGACCGGAGTACCACCCACGAGGGAGGTGGTGTGAAAGGCCGGTTCCCGTTTGACAACCCGCTCGTGCGTCCGAAGTGTGCCCCTTTTCAGCCATCAGCAGGTACGCCAGAGGAGTTAATTTTTTTTTAGGGGGGGGTAAATAGCTGCCTATCTATCTTTCTTTTCAGATTAGATCGTCCAGGGAACATACATCCCATCCCCCGGTAGGCTATTTTTGTTGTCTCGCATGCCTGACGTTCTGACATATCTACCTCACATTTACGCGCGCCCAAACCTACCGAAACTCGACCGGTTTTATCAGAAGGCGGTATTGGTATGGATACCGGAGTTCTTGTTCCCAGAGCTCCAGGCAGTTCCTTGTCCAGGATGTGGGGGCAAGGGCGCACCTGATGGCTGGAACCCTAAGGGGCCACGCCGGGTGTTCATGGAGCACGACGTGGCGTACGTGATGGGGTTTCGGTAAGTTCAGCATGCGAAGAAGAGTGTTCGCTCCGTGAACTTCATCAGTCATGTTTTTGTGGCATCCGACGAATTCTGGGTTTCTGGTAAATTGGTGTTCGTGTTGTGATTTTCCGACGATATTGCTCGTGGTGTATGTTTTCTCCCATGCACGTGCAGGTACAAGTGTGCGAAGTGCGCGGAGTTCAATGAAGGCAAGCAGGAGGCGGAAAAGCGCAAGACGAGCTTCAACGCGTGGGATGCTGGGTGCCTCCGGCGTCTCCCGGAGTATATGTCCAAGGAGTTCCATTTCCTTCTCACCAAGCGATCGGGCATTGAGATTTGCATGGTGGACCGGCTTGCAGATGATTTGGTGCATGGGAAGGGCTTCTCCGCTGCTGCCAAGAACATTCGTCAGGTGAATATGCAGTGTCTCATCTGCAGCGTCTTATGATAACGGGTTGGTCTGGTCTTGGCTTTCCGAGCCTGTTCAAAACATTTGCCGATGGTACCCCAAACGTTGCTGCCGGAAATGTCGCATCTCATAAGCGCCGACCCGTGCTACAACGAAAACATGACGCCCTCGCAATGCTGTTGAAGGCGCATACGACCAAGTTCATGGTGGACCAGCTGAAGTACACCTCTCTGGTCAACACCCGGCGGANTATATGTCCAAGGAGTTCCATTTCCTTCTCACCAAGCGATCGGGCATTGAGATTTGCATGGTGGACCGGCTTGCAGATGATTTGGTGCATGGGAAGGGCTTCTCCGCTGCTGCCAAGCACATTCGTCAGGTGAATATGCAGTGTCTCATCTGCAGCGTCTTATGATAACGGGTTGGTCTGGTCTTGGCTTTCCGAGCCTGTTCAAAACATTTGCCGATGGTACCCCAAACGTTGCTGCCGGAAATGTCGCATCTCATAAGCGCCGACCCGTGCTACAACGAAAACATGACGCCCTCGCAATGCTGTTGAAGGCGCATACGACCAAGTTCATGGTGGACCAGCTGAAGTACACCTCTCTGGTCAACACCCGGCGGACCAGCTCGGGCATCTTCCGCTCGGCCAACCTCGCCAAAATTCCGGAGAGGTTCGGCAGCTTTGATGACTCGACAAAGTACGGCGGTGCGGTCCCGTCGGAGCACTATTTGCGGGACGTGTGGCGGTTGTATTTCTCGAAACTCCCCGTGCTGGAGGTGGATAGCGTGGATTGAACACTGAAGGAGTATCAGCATCGCTTGATGCAGTGCTGGGACGGAGACATTCTGGGTGGGGATGCTTCGTTTAAGTTTGCGAAGATCATTCGGCTCGGGGCAAAAGCGGGCGAGGAGCGCACAAGACCAGTGTACGGCTTCTTCACAGTCTTCAACGAGTATGAGCAGGTGAAAATTTCTCCTGTCTCTGTTTCGTTCAACCATCCCCAAANACTGAAGGAGTATCAGCATCGCTTGATGCAGTGCTGGGACGGAGACATTCTGGGTGGGGATGCTTCGTTTAAGTTTGCGAAGATCATTCGGCTCGGGGCAAAAGCGGGCGAGGAGCGCACAAGACCAGTGTACGGCTTCTTCACAGTCTTCAACGAGTATGAGCAGGTGAAAATTTCTCCTGTCTCTGTTTCGTTCAACCATCCCCAAAACCTTCGTGTTGGTGCCATGTTTTCTGGAGCAATCACTGGAAAATTATTCTCGTAGTATGGTGCACTCATTCTGATGACCCGAAAAACATTTCGTTGTTACACATGTGTGCTTTTTTGAAGGTGGTCTTGCAGCGTCCGATGAAGACCGATGCCTTGGGCGAGCTGGCGGAGGAGGTGGAGCTTTTTTTCATGCGATTCGTTCGCAATGGCTTCAAGGTTCCTACTCTGTGGAACACAGGTAATTTGCGAAATGATTGTAGACTTGCTTCGCTTTTCGAGGTTGTAGACCGGTGTCAGGCCTGCTATTTTCGAAGTGACTTTGCAGTATTGTCTCCTCAATCCTTTCCGGCCCCGTTGCGTGACGCTTCACTTTGTCAGATGACTGCTGTGATGACCGCCAACTGCTGCAACGCATATTTCGCGAGTTTGAGGAGGTAACGGGGATCAGTCTTTAATCTGGGAGACGAGGTGGATGCCGGTGTTCAGTTGGAGCTCCTGCTACAGCTGGATCTGGAGTTCACCCCTGCCATCGTGTACGACCCGGAGGCGGTAGCCGCTGCCTGCGGCTCCCTCCGTCAGAGCATCAGCCAAAATCGAGTGGAGGGAAAGATGATGTGCGGAGCGGACGCAGAGTGGCAGTTTTCACCTCGTGGGCGGAAACCTGTAACAACCTTCCAAATTGCGGCTTCGAGGGGGCCATCGTTCCTCTTCCACCTGCAGAGAGGGAGCTCTGGTTTTACGAAGGAAACATTTCCCGCTCCCCTGAAGGCTCTTCTCGAGGACCCCAGCACCATCAAGGTGAGACAACAGCAACAGCACATGCGCGTGAGGGTTGAATGCGATAGATGTTGTATTCATGCAAGTACTGCTCTTGAAAGGTTGGTACGGCGTATTTTAGCATCCGTCTTGTGAGCGTCTTCCTCATGATACTATTTGAACGCCGACTCGGCGACTCGATGTTTCCTCTGTGCAGGCTGGTGTTACCATCAACACGGATACCACGCATATGCTCAACGACTATGGCGTGAAAACGGCGAGCACGGTGGACCTGCGCGTCCTCGCCGTTTCCAAGTTGGTGGTGACATCGTCTCGAACACTCGCCGGCTTGACGGCGTGCCTCCTGGGGAGGCAGCTGCCGAAGGATACCGTCCGATGCTCCC